CTGGCCGTGTCAGGTGGTGGAGGGTGTACAACACACATTGTACTCACGAGGCGATCTGTCCCCAAAAAAACTACTGAATCGTATCGTCGTTTCAGCTCAGCGCTGGGTTGAAGAGCGACTAGACACTACGCTCCGTCTGAAATCCGCGTTCAACATCATCTAGGTCCATGCGTTGCCAACAATAGCTTCGCCCAATGATGGCTTCTTGACCTTGATCAGCGGTGACACACGGCGCAGGGTTCAGCTTGCTCTGAGTTGATATTTTAAACAAAAACAAACACCAAAAATCCCTTCATATTCTGCATCCCAATAACATTCTCCAGCTGTCAGCATCAGTCCTGGTGGGGCACGTCGAGCCAAAACAACAACCAAAAACACCCTCTTTCATTTCATAAATCGTGAGATGAAAATACTCCGATTGGAAATCCTGGTGAGTAAGCAGCGCACCGCCCTGTGGCAACGAGCAGCCCTGTAAGAAGATGATGATGAAGATGCCACAGGACTACTCCTGAGGTTACTACTTGATGAGGCCTCCACCCACACTCAGGGCCACACATGTCGCATAATCTGCAGAGAGTGTACAGCCGCACGTCAATCGAGCTCACGTTTTTATTTCGTATCGTGTAAAACGACTGCCCTCTTGCGAAGTTAATATTTACTGTAACTCGCCACACTTGATAACCCTGCAAGGCGGTGAGTAAGATGGCAATTACGGCAAGTTGATTTTATTTTTGTAACTATTTTTTTTTATGCCAACCAAGTAAGGCCCGCCACTGAGTTGCGTAGCTCAAATTCAGAAGCGACCCGGCCATCACAAATGATTGCTCCACGAAGTGGCTTATCATCGTGTGGACATTTACAGCAGTCAAAACAACTCTAAACGCAAGTTGTTTCTAAATGTGGCGGGGGGAAACCCAGAGGGCCCAGAGAAAAATTCCACGCAACCACGGGGAGAGCATGCAAACTCCAAATATGCAGACGTCAGGTTCGGTATCGAACCCACGACCTCCTTGTATACCAGGCGAGGCAGTTAACATCTCACTACCGCGCAGAGCCTTCGGTGTTAGATCCTCTGGGCACACTGGTTTGCTGCCTTAATGGAGCCAAACTTTCATTAATCCAGTTGGAAAAACGTCCCAATGACGTTCCCTACTGCCAAAAATATGTATATTTTTTATGAGCCTCAGTAAAGCTATCCTGGGTAGACAAAGGGCATGATTGTTATTGTTCATGAACCACGGGCGGCCGAAACCCAGCTTCAAACTCCAGCATCGCAGCGCTCCCGACTCATTGCTCTGAACAGTGTCACCCCCCGTAAGCCACTCTAGTCAGAGCCGTGGTGAGCAAAATACAATCCGCGCTATTTGGCCATGAATTGACGGGCGATTGACTAACGACCCAAATGCTGCGACCGCTTTGACGTCTGAGCAGTGGATTACAAATGCGGTTGTAATTTTACGGAGGAAAATGCCCTGCCCGGCCACACCACCACCTCCCCCCCCCTCTTCTGCCCGCCTATACCACTGCCCCCCACTGTGCGCGCGTGTGTGTGGTGGGGAGCGGTGGTGTAGCGGTTAGCGCTACGCTGTGCTACGAACCCGGCTACTCGGGTTCGATTCCCGCTCACGGCCAACACCACCAGTAACGATTATCTGAATCGGTCCTGGGCCTCCCCTAGGACGACTCAGCCTCAAATGAGTACCTGGTGCGGTGTTGTAAACATCGCCACTGGAGAGACAAAGGCGGTCGGGCGTGGTGCTGGCCACCCACCCCCTCGTTGTACCGTTCCGGCCTTCACAGGTGCTCCTCGCTAACAGCACTTGCCCCAACAGTCTGTTGAGCCTACACGGGGGAATCTTTGTCTTTGTGTGCAACGCCACAAATTGTTCGCGACGTGCCGCTTGCTATTTGCGTCTCTCGCTGCGTTCTCGTTGCGAAGCGCTCTTCCCCCCCCCACCCACCTCCACGTCCGCTTCCCTTCGCTCCGTGACTCAGCGCGGCCCCGGACAGCCAACGCCTCCCACAATGTCCGCGAGCGGCATTGTTAATTTGGGGGTTGAAGCTTTCACGTCGGTCATCCTCGCAGCGGCAGCGGCTAGCAAGCAGCGGTGGCTTTTGGCCAAGCCGTCGTACACAAAGTACGGTCACCGCACCGCAAGCGGCGCACTGTCGGATGCGATTTCTGCGGCCGTCTGGAACGCTCTGCCTTGCGATATTAGTAAACCGCTGGGAGCTATGCTCTTTTAAATCACCTAGATGGAAAACGCATTTCCTTGGAACTGTTTTTGTTGTTGTTGTTTATACTCTTTGGTTCTTTCGGAAAAGTCACGTAGGTATAAAATAAAATAAATCACGACGTTTCGATCGCAACACAAGCGGTCGTCCTCAGGCGGGAAAAATATAATCCAGCGGTACCACTGCTGGATTATTTTCTTACCGAAATAATCAAAGAGTGTGGATTCCTGCAGTCACGAAAGCTTCAAATCAAGATTGTTGTTGTTGTTTAGTTTGTTGTCTTCCTCCCCCCACCCCCGCGCCTCGGATCAGCACTTCGGCTTACGTACGGTACGAAAGAAGTCCAACATACGTGCATACATTACACGTGCGCACGCCCAACCTCGCTTCCACGATCCACTCACTCGAACCTCTCGACGTCAGCCGGCCGGAGTGACGGGGCTAATGAGTGACGCGCGCGTTTCCAGCGTGCGTTTGTGCCCCGCATGCAGACGGGTCACGACTTTGGTATTCCAGGCACTTTGTGGGAGGGATGGACTGTAGGTGGTGGTGCGGTGGTGGTGGGGGGTAGTTGGTGGTGGTGCGCTGGTGGCAGTGCCGGATTATCCTCGTTGCAAAAGTAGCTTCATATGTAGCTACGGGCCCCGCACTTTCAAGGGCCCCGCGCTAAATGCTTTCAAGCTATCAATTCCGGTTCAGTGATTCTGCACTTGCTCTATTACTATAGTACTATACCGCCTTCAACTTTGACGAACGACCGGGTGTTTAAGGTTAGCGATTTGTCGTATTATCTGGCCGTACAGCAAATGAAAAAAAATACAATTACTTTACTATGCAAGTAAAATAATTACGTGTTTTAATATGTACGTGTTTTTTTTTATTTAGGGTCCCTTTATAACATCATGCTACAGGACCCGCACCAGCTTCATCCGGCACTGCGCGGAGGGGGGGGGGGGGTGGAGGGAGCGGTGGGGTATCAGTTAGCGCTACGCTGCGCTTCGAACCCGGCAGAGAACCGAGTTCGATTCCAGTTCACGGCCCCCAACACCCAGTGACGATTATCTAAAACCGGTCCTGGACCTCCCCTAGGTCGACTCAGCCTCAAATGAGTACCCGGTGCGGTGTGCGAACATCGCCACTGGGGAGACAAAGGCGTTCGGGCGTGTTGCTGGCCACCCACCTCCCCCTCGTGTTCCGTAGCCGGCCTTCATAGGTGCTGCTACTCGCTAACAGCACTTGCCCTAACAGTCTGTTGCAGGCTATACGGGGGATCTTTGTAGGGGGGTGGGTGGGTGACGGTGGTGGTGGTGAGGGAGTGCAGTGAGTCGGATTGACAGTGTTGGGGGGGCGGGGTTGGTATGGTGTGGGGGGTGAACTGATCCCTCATTGGAATCTCTGGATCTCCACACTGCACGATCCACCACCCCTTGCTCCCTCGCCCGACCCTCCCTCTCCGTCTCCCCCCTCCCCTCCCCACCGCTCTCGCCAGATCTCTCCCTCCTCTCTTTCTCTCCCCTTCCCCTCTTTTCGCACCGTCCCATCGCGATTAAAAACGGACAACCATAAACCCTGCCTGGCGCTGCTCAGCGGATCTCGTTCCGAGCGACGTTTGTTTTTGCTCTCGCTGATGTCGTCGTCATCGTCGTCATTACATTCCGGTTGACAAAACGCGAACTCCGCAATGCAGAAAACAGCCACCACCACCACAGCCACCACCGCCACCACCACAGCCACCACCGCCACCACCGCCACCACCACCGCCACCACCCTTCACAACCGCGCCGCTGACTGCTATCAATTTCCAGAGGTCACGCTGAGCCGAGGCGAAGCGCAGGGCACTGGGCTGGTGAGCGTGGGGCGGGCACAACAAGCTGTGGGGGTAGGGGTGGGTGTAGGGGGGGGTGCTGCTGCGGCGAGCCCCCTTTTTTTTGCAGCTGTCATTATTTTGGCCGCGAACTTCGGGGGCCTCCGCTCGCCTCTCCACGTGCCGAGGAATCGGCGGTCGCTCGCGCCGCCGACGCCGCCGACGCCGCCGCCGCCACCCAACGGGACGGGCGAAAATTTCCACTCCGAGCCAACGCCGCTGCACGTGGGAATTTTTGTTTTTAATCTACCACGAAAGCGATTGAGAGCAGCGAAACGTCGGCCGAAGGGCTCCTCATTTTGTTGTTGTTGTTGTTGTCGATGTAGTTTCGATCAGTTCTTATTCCACTTTATTTGGGATACGCGACCACGCGCGTGCCATCCCACGGATCAGCCGCACCGGGATATGCTCCTGACCACCCCCGCCACCCCGAGTGGACGATCGTCAATGGCTCTCCATCGCACGTGAGGCCGACAGGTCCGAGAGCTCTCGCTCAGGTCTCCGATCATCTGTGCGCCGGCGGCGGGGGGAGGAAGGTGGTGGAGTAGTTAAGTGAGTGAGTGGGTGGGGTGGAGTTGGGGTGGAGTGGGGGTGGAGTGGGGGTGGAGTGGGCGCACCCCCCCCCCCGACCCCCACCGCGACCATGCGCACGGCTGCCACCGTCCTGACGGAGGACGCCGGCTCGCGCGGCGCTCGGAACGGCGAGACGTCGCTCCTGGGCAGCCTCGTGATGGCTCTGCCTCCCGCGGGCTCGGCCCGCCTCCGCCTGGGCTTAGGAAGGAAGTCGGACGGCTATTTGGACGCCCAGTAAGTACGGGGGAAGTGGGGCTGGGGATTGGTGATGGGAGGGGTTTTTTTTACGGGAAAAAATAATATTAAGATGTCCCCCCCCCCCACCCGCAACACACACTCACCCCTTGTCAACCAAAATAAGGGGAGCTTACGAATGGGCGGAAATCCACGCAGGAGCGCTGGGCTGGCTCGCCCGCTCGGGGGGGGGGGGGGGGGGACGACAGACGGACACGAGAGCTTGCGCTGCGCGCTGCGCGTTCAACCGACGGGACTACTGCTGCTGATGCACGCGGTGGCGATTCCGCGCGGTGATCGAGAAGCGATAGAGAGAGATAGAGAGATTAGTTTGGTCAGGTCCATCGGTGTCGCTGTGTTGGGAGCGAGCGAGCGAGGGAGCGAGTGAGTGAGTGAGCGCCCGGCCTGCCCCTTGCTATGGTATGGTGAGCGCAGCGATGGCCAGCCCAGCGCAGCTCAGAATACTCGCGGATTCGGCGGTGGACGCGTCCTCCACCTCCTCCTCCTTCACGCACTCGTGAGTATCGAGAAATGGAGTCGTCGTTGTGGTGGTGTTGGTGGTGAGGGGGGGTCGCGTTGCGGGGCCACGCACGTGCCGATTGTTGCGGGGAGATGGTGGGTGGGTGGTGGGTGGGTGTGTGGTGGTGGTGGTGGGGAGGGAGGTTTCGCTGGATGATAACCGGCGCCGCTGGGGAGAGGCGGCGGTCACAACCCACATCTTTGTGAGAGAAAGAAAAAATAACACGGAGCTTTGTAGCTCATCGGATTCCTTCAGTCTATAGAAATATTTACGTTTCTGATTCTGACCCCCCTACCACCAGCACCACCACCCCGAGTTTCATTCCCGGCCACGGCGAAGTGAGATATCTGCTTTGCCTGATTTGCAGGAGGAGGTGGTGGGTTCGCGTATGGTTTTTAATCCCGACCCTGACGCCTGCTGCTGTATATTTGGAGTCTGCGGTGTCTCTCTGTCTCTCTCCCCGTGGTCGCGTGGATTTTTCTCCGGGTCCTCCGGGTTTTTTTTCCCTCCACATTTATAATCGACGTCACGCGTTCAGAGTATTTGCTTGCCGCTATCAATTTCCACGTGATGATGATGCTGATCAAAAGCCGCCACTTCGTTGAGCTGTCAGTTGCGGTGGCCAGATCGTTTCTGAAAACAAAGAGCAGTATCGCACAGTCGTGGGCCCTGACCTATTTTTTTTTTTATTTGAAAACAGAAATATCTGTTTTCTCGCCTTACGCACAAACCTCACGGTAACATTCGATCCCCTGTCTCGTCCGCCCTATCCCGGGTCCCGTGTGGTCACCGCAGCTCTACCGAGTGCCCCTTTAAGGACACAGCAGCAGCAGCGGCGGCGGCGGCGGTGCCGGCAACGCGTTCCGTATCAGCACCTTATAGCCCACGTGTGTGGTACAGTGCGTGCGTTGAACTTCTTTCGCACCGCACGTCGCTGACCGTGCTAATCGGAGATGCCATTGCGATGAGCGTGAAGTGTGGGAGTCTTAAAACATCGTGTTCTTTTCCTGTTTAACATTGAACTTGTGTAATTTCCATGCTACCTTTTATTTAAAAAAAAAACCGGTTCGCTGTCACTTTGCGTATAAGTTCAGTCACTTTGCATACACGTTTGCTGGTACATTGCGAATGAGTTCACTGTTACTTTGGGTACAAGTTTAGCGACGAGGTAATTTGATCACGGCTGGGCAATTAGCGGCCTCCACCACACGACTAACGCTGACGTTCTAAGCTAATTAGTACATTCCGATTAGCACGGCTGGCTACGTACGGTGCGAAAGAAGTTCAACGTGCCGTATACAAATGTTCCAGGTCCCCCGATGTTTCCCTTCCCCCCCCCCCCCCCCCCCATTTAGAATCGTGAGTTTAGAGTATTTCGATGATTTTGCTGCTATAAATATCCACGCGATGATGAACCACTTCGTTGAGCTATAATTTCTGAGAGCCAGGTCGCTTCTGAAAATTGAAGAAGCTAATAGCCCTGTGGGCTTTACATGATATGATACCAAAACAAATCTGTGTTTAGTTTTATTCGTATACTAGCTGTGTACTACCCGGCTTCGCCCAGGACTTGTGTTCACCACGCCCGGCCGCCTTTGTCTTCCCCAGTGGCGATGTTCACACACCACATCAATTACTCTTTTGAGGCTGAGTCGACCTAGGGGAGGCCCAGGACCGGTTAAAATAATCGTCACCGGTGGTGGCCGTGAGCGGGAATCGAACTCGGGTCGCCGGGTTCGTAGCGCGGCGTAGCGCTAACCACTACACTACAATGCGTTACGCTTCCACATGCGAGGGTCACTTGACAGATTTGACGTCACAGCTCACTTGCCGTGAAACAAATATATGCATTATAGAGCTCCTCTCCCCTAAAAAAAGTGTATTTTTATATTTGTTGCATGGTGTACAGTCTGGAAAGTACCGACATGGCAAATATCAAGTTTGTTGCATGTCGGGAAATACGCTAAACATTTTGAACAGACACACAATCACAACTTTGCCTTTTATATATATGGAGATTATTTTACGTGCTTTGTTTCCCAAACCATCGACCGCATCGCAAACACTGCACCGCTGTCTTTAAAGGAGGAACGGACGAGGTCCACTCTGCGTCTGAACGAGACAATTGAGTGGATAACAAATTTTAAAAAATTACATATTTAATCTGCTGCTATTAAATCCATAGGAAAGCTATAGAGATATCGAGCGATGTGTTTACTTGTCCTATACTTTGCACTTGTAAAAAATAACATGCTATTTGCATTTTACCAGGTTCGGGCTCACTGAACTATGCTGGCTTTTTTTCAGAAGAGACCTGGTCACAAATCACGTGGACATTTCTAGCAGCCAAATACTCTAAACGCGCGTTTCTAAATGCAGAGGGATAACCCGGAAGACCGGGAGAAATATCCATGCGACCATGGGGAGAAATACACGCAAACTCCAGATATACAGCAGCAGCAGGCGTCAGGATCGGGATCGAACCCACGGCCTCCTGCATACCAGGCGAGGTAGTTAACATCTCCTATCCACCGTGTTGATGATGAGAGAGACACGCAAACTCCAAATATACAGCATGCGTCAGGGTCGGGATCGAACCCACGACCTCCTGTATACCAGGCGAGGTAGTTAACATCTCCTAGCCACCGTGATGATGATGAGAAAGAGAGACAGGCAAACTCCAAATATACAGCAGAAGGCGTCAGGGTCGGGATCGAACCCACGACCTCCTGTATACCAGGCGAGGTAGATAACATCTCCTAGCCACCGTGATGATGATGAGAAAGAGAGACACGCAAAAACTCCAAATATGCAGCAGCAGGCGTCAGGGTCGGGATCGAATCCACGGCCTCCTGCATACCAGGCGAGGTAGTTAACATCTCCTAGCCACAGTGGCACCCTTGTAACGTTCTGACCTCGGTACCCCCTCTTGTTGGACAATATGGTCGGGGGGGGGGGGAGAGCTTGATAGCTCATCAGATTCTTCCTGCAGCGTATAAATAAATAACGTTCCTGATTCTGACATTCAAAGGCGGCCGCGCCTATGCGTCATGCGATGCAACTCAGCAATCCCAGCGGCTCGAGCCCCCCACCCACCACCATCGCTCGCGCGAGAAATCTCGCGGTGAGGTCAGCCCAGGGTACAGATTGACAACGCCCTCTCCTGGAGGGCCGAGGAAGGACGGGGGGGGGGGGGGGTGAGTCGGTGGGGGCGGGGGGTAGGGGTGGGGGGCTCTCTAGAGCTACCTCTAGCGGAGGGCCCTTCCGGCCGAGCATTGGCGCGAGAGAGAATTCGCAGTGGGCTGTTCCTTTGCCCCGTTTTACCTCTCGGTGTGATTCTAAAGCTTGCGGAGGAATTGTCCGAAGGGATTGACACGCTTTGTGGGGTAAGCGGGGGGGGGGGTTTACGGTAAAACCGCAAAAGCGGTTCTCCACGTGGCCCAAAGTTCGATCCCCGCCACACAGGGCTCACACCGGACGCGTGAATCCCGCGTTGGTGGAGATGTCAGCTGTGCAGGCGGCGACGCTGCAACAGTGGCCCACTGGCCAGATGGGGCCGACTGGCCAGACGGGGCCCGCTGGCCAGACGGGGCCGACTGGCCAGACGGGGCCCGCTGGCCAGACGGGGCCCGCTGGCCAGACGGGGCCGATTGGCCAGACGGGGCCCGCTGGCCAGACGGGGCCCGCTGGCCAGACGGGGCCCGCTGGCCAGACGGGCTCGCTGGCCGGACGGTGCCCGCTGTATATTTGGAGTTTGCGTGTCTTTTCTCTCTCTCTCTCTCTTCCCGTGGTAGCGAGGATTTTTCTCCAGGTCCTCTGATTTTTCCCTCCACATTTAGAATGGACGAGTATGTGGCTGCTGTTGTTATCAATGTCCACGTGAAAATAAGCCCACTACCTTGAGCTATTTTTTGTGGCAGCCAGGTCGCTTCTGAAAAAGAGCGGCGTGGGGCCCTTACCTGCCAAAATAAAATAACAAAAAATATAGTTTAAATAGAAGTTTACATCCAGTATGCAAATTGATGGGGGAGCCCTAGGGGGATTTCCCTGGCTCTCCTGTTTGTATTAATATCGACGACGACGATAGAATGATGTCAACTCGTAACGCGGCGTCGCACAGAAGTCGCTGATCGCTCTCGTAGCGAGAGAGAAAGAGAGAAGAAGACTCGGAAGCTCGTGGTGGATTGAACCACAGAGGGTCGGGGAGGCAACAGCAGCAGCAGCAGCCACGTGGCGAGCAGCCGGCAGCAACTTCGCCCAAGCGCTGCGCTCCTCGATGTATGAAGGTTGTTATCGGCCAAAATGTTCTCGCACGGCTCAGCGATCAGACTGTTTATTTACCCCGGAGAAATCCGATGAGCTATGAATCTCTTTTTCACGGGTGTCCAGTAGTCATCACAGGTGTCCAGTAGTGTTCACAGGTGTCCAGTAGTGTCCACAGGTGTCCGGCAGTGTTCACAGGTGTCCAGTAGCCTTCACAGGTGTCCAGTAGTGTTCATAGGTGTCCGGTAGTGTTCACAGGTGTCCAGTAGTGTCCACGGGTGTCCAGCAGTGTCCACAGGTGTCCAGTAGTGTTCACAGGTGTCCAGTAGTGTTCACAGGTGTCCAGTAGTGTTCACAGGTGTCCAGCAGTGTTCACAGGTGTCCAGCAGTGTTCACGGGTGTCCAGTAGTCATCACAGGTGTCCAGTAGTGTTCACAGGTGTCCAGTAGTGTTCACTGGTGTCCAGTAGTGTCCACAGGTGTCCAGTAGTGTTCACAGGTGTCCAGTACCCTTCACAGGTGTCCAGTAGAGTTCACAGGTGTCCAGTAGTGTTCACAGGTGTCCAGTAGTCATCACAGGTGTCCAGTAGTGTTCACAGGTGTCCAGTAGTCATCACAGGTGTCCAGTAGTCATTACAGGTGTCCAGTAGTGTTCACAGGTGTCCAATAGTGTTCACAGGTGTCCAGTAGAGTTCACAGGTGTCCAGTAGTGTTCACAGGTGTCCAGTAGCGTTCACAGGTGTCCAGTAGTCATCACAGGTGTCCAGCAGTGTTCACAGGTGTCCAGTAGCCTTCACAGGTGTCCCGTAGTGTTCACAGATGTCCGGTAGTGTTCACAGGTGTCCAGTAGTGTTCACAGGTGTCCAGTAGTCATCACAGGTGTCCAGCAGTGTTCACAGGTGTCCAGTAGTGTCCACAGGTGTCCAGTAGTGTTCACAGGTGTCCAGTAGTGTTCACAGGTGTCCAGTAGTGTTCACAGGTGTCCAGTAGTCATCACAGGTGTCCAGTAGTGTTCACAGGTGTCCAGTAGTCATCACATGTGTCCAGTAGTGTTCACAGGTGTCCAGTAGTGTTCACAGGTGTCCAGTAGTGTTCACAGGTGTCCAGTAGTGTCCACAGTTGTCCAGTAGTGTTCACAGGTGTCCAGTAGTGTTCACTGGTGTCCAGTAGTGTTCACAGGTGTCCAGTAGTGTTCACAGGTGTCCAGCAGTGTTCACAGGTGTCCGGTAGTGTTCACAGGTGTCCAGTAGCCTCCACAGGTGTCCAGTAGTCTCCACAGGTGTCCAGCAGTGTTCACAAGTGTCCAGTAGTGTTCACAGGTGTCCAGTAGTGTTCACAGGTGTCCAGCAGTGTTCACAGGTGTCGGGTAGAATTCACAGGTGTCCAGTAGTGTTCACAGGTGTCCAGTAGTGTTCACAGGTGTCCAGTAGTGTTCACGGGTGTCCAGTAGTCATCACAGGTGTCCAGTAGTGTTCACAGGTGTCCAGTAGTGTTCACTGGTGTCCAGTAGTGTCCACAGGTGTCCAGTAGTGTTCACAGGTGTCCAGTACCCTTCACAGGTGTCCAGTAGAGTTCACAGGTGTCCAGTAGTGTTCACAGGTGTCCAGTAGTCATCACAGGTGTCCAGTAGTGTTCACAGGTGTCCAGTAGTCATCACAGGTGTCCAGTAGTCATCACAGGTGTCCAGTAGTGTTCACAGGTGTCCAGTAGTGTTCACAGGTGTCCAGTAGAGTTCACAGGTGTCCAGTAGTGTTCACAGGTGTCCAGTAGCGTTCACAGGTGTCCAGTAGTCATCACAGGTGTCCAGCAGTGTTCACAGGTGTCCAGTAGCCTTCACAGGTGTCCCGTAGTGTTCACAGATGTCCGGTAGTGTTCACAGGTGTCCAGTAGTGTTCACAGGTGTCCAGTAGTCATCACAGGTGTCCAGCAGTGTTCACAGGTGTCCAGTAGTGTCCACAGGTGTCCAGTAGTGTTCACAGGTGTCCAGTAGTGTTCACAGGTGTCCAGTAGTGTTCACAGGTGTCCAGTAGTCATCACAGGTGTCCAGTAGTGTTCACAGGTGTCCAGTAGTCATCACATGTGTCCAGTAGTGTTCACAGGTGTCCAGTAGTGTTCACAGGTGTCCAGTAGTGTTCACAGGTGTCCAGTAGTGTCCACAGTTGTCCAGTAGTGTTCACAGGTGTCCAGTAGTGTTCACTGGTGTCCAGTAGTGTTCACAGGTGTCCAGTAGTGTTCACAGGTGTCCAGCAGTGTTCACAGGTGTCCGGTAGTGTTCACAGGTGTCCAGTAGCCTCCACAGGTGTCCAGTAGTCTCCACAGGTGTCCAGCAGTGTTCACAAGTGTCCAGTAGTGTTCACAGGTGTCCAGTAGTGTTCACAGGTGTCCAGCAGTGTTCACAGGTGTCGGGTAGAATTCACAGGTGTCCAGTAGTGTTCACAGGTGTCCAGTAGTGTTCACAGGTGTCCAGTAGTGTTCACGGGTGTCCAGTAGTATTCACAGGTGTCCAATAGAGTTCACAGGTGTCCAGTAGTCATCACAGGTGTCCAGCAGTGTTCACAGGTGTCCAGTAGTCATCACAGGTGTCCAGTAGTATTCACAGGTGTCCAGCAGTGTTCACAGGTGTCCAGTAGTATTCACAGCTGTCCAGTAGTGTTCACAGATGTCCAGTAGTGTTCACAGGTGTCCAGTAGTGTTCACAGGTGTCCAGTAGTGTTCACAGGTGTCCAGTAGTGTCCACAGATGTCCAGTAGTATTCACAGGTGTCCAGTAGTGTTCACAGGTGTCCAGTAGTGTTCACAGGTGTCCAGTAGTCATCACAGGTGTCCAGTAGTGTTCACAGGTGTCCAGTAGTGTTCACAGGTATCCAGTAGTGTTCACAGGTGTCCAGTAGTCATCACAGGTGTCCAGTAGTGTTCACAGGTGTACAGTAGTGTTCACAGGTGTCCAGTAGTGTTCACAGGTGTCCAGTAGTCATCACAGGTGTCCAGTAGTGTTCACAGGTGTCCAGTAGAGTTATCCGATGTCCAGTAGTGTTCACAGGTGTCCAGTAGTGTTCACAGGTGCCCAGTAGCCTTCACAGGTGTGCCAGTAGTGTTCACAGGTGTCCAGTAGTGTCCACAGGTATCCAGTAGTGTTCACAGGTGTCCAGTAGTGTTTACAGGTGTCCGGCAGTGTTCACGGTGGTCCAGCTGCTCACCAGCAGTGTCGCACGGATCGGTGTCGTTTTCATTCGGGGACATTGGCGGAGAATCGTCTCCAGGAAGCATTCCTCTAGGAGCGAACACGCGGCGTCATTCCCAGGCGCCGTTGGAGTGGACGCTTCGGTGGGTGGGTGTTGGAACGCGCGCTTGGGTCACGACGCACGTGGGTTCTTAGGGACCGTCCATAAATGACGTCACGCACCTAGGGGGGGGGAGGTCAGACATTTGTGACGATATGTGACGAGGGGGGGGGGGGTGTTTGAGAAATGTGACGTCACATCAAAATGCGCAACTTTAAATAAATATAGACAACACGTTCTACTTAATTAAATAAACTTTTTAAATAAATGTTTTCTCCTACAACATCAGAGTGCAGCGCCACATTAAATACGCACTACAATGACAATAGTTGAAAGCGATTTCAAAATAGAAATATGGTTTTGGGGGGGGGCAGAGCTTTATGACGTCATATTTGAGGGGGGGTCTGACTTTTTGTGACGCCGTGTGACGAGGGGGGGGGGGGCAAAAATCGTCCAAAATCGCGTGACGTCATTTATGGACGGCCCCTTAGGTGCTCGCTAGCAGCACTTGCCCCGATAGACCCGTTGAAGGCTGGTGCGTGGGAATCTTTGTCTTTGTGTTCGCGTGGGTATGTCTGCAGCCTCTGTGTGTGTTTGTGCAGAATCAACTCACGCTACGCTGTACGTACACTGAGACGAAGAGACATCGCAACACAACTGTGTAGAGATAGACTCACCGTAGCCAAAATCCGCGTGCAGTACGATGCACTACACGCGAATACATGTCCTTGTGCAGAGGAGGCTCCCTTAATGCAGTGGCTTGCCGGCTTGTTTCAACTGCAGCGCAAGCAGAGGCTCCCTTAATGTCGTGGCCTGCCGGCTTGTTTCAGCTCCAGTGCAAGCAGATGCTCCCTTAATGCAGTGGCTTGCCGGCTTGTTTCAGCTGCAGTTCAAGCAGAGGCTCCCTTAATGCAGTGGCCTGCCGGCTTGTTTCAGCTGCAGTGCAAGCAGAGGCTCCCTTAATGTCGTGGCCTGCCGGCTTGTTTCAGCTGCAGTGCAAGCAGAGGCTCCCTTAATGCAGTGTCCTGCCGGCTTGTTTCAACTGCAGTGCAAGCAGAGGCTCCCTTAATGCAGTGGCCTGCCGGCTTGTTTCAACTGCAGTGCAAGCAGAGGCTCCCTTAATGTCGTGGCCTGCCGGCTTGTTTCAGCTGCAGTGCAAGCAGAGGCTCCCTTAATGCAGTGGCCTGCCGGCTTATTTCAACTGCAGTGCAAGCAGAGGCTCCCTTAATTCAGTGGCCTGCCGGCTTGTTTCAACTGCAGTGCAAGCAGAGGCTCCCTTAATGTAGTGGCCTACCGGCTTGTTTCAGCTGCAGTGCAAGCAGAGGCTCCCTTAATGTCGTAGCCTGCGGCTTGTTTCAGCTGCAGTGCAAGCAGAGGCTCCCTTAATGTCGTGGCCTGCCGGCTTGTTTCAACTGCAGTGCAAGCAGAGGCTCCCTTAATGTCGTGGCCTGCCGGCTTGTTTCAGCTGCAGTGCAAGCAGAGGCTCCCTTAATGTCGTGGCCTGCCGGCTTGTTTCAGCTGCAGTGCAAGCAGAGGCTCCCTTAATGCAGTGGCCTGCCGGCTTGTTTCAGCTGCAGTGCAAGCAGAGGCTCCCTTAATGCAGTGGCCTGACGGCTTGTTTCAACTGCAGTGCATTTAAGGTACCTTAAATGAGTACCTGGTATATATCCACAGGTGAAATGGGCAGCAGTGGTGTCGTGGTTGGCGCACTGCGAATCAGGCGTCTCGAGTTGAATTCCTACCCATGACCAACAAAACAAATGGCGAATAATTGAACCAGTAGTGGACCTCCCCTAGGTCGACTCAGCCCTAAATTATAACTTGGTGTGGTGTGTGAACATCGTTACGGGGGAGGCAAAGGCGGCAAGACATGGTGTTGACTTCGACCCCCACCTCCTCTGCTCTGGGGTTTTTATGGATGTTGAACTTCTTTCGCACCGTACGTAGCCAACCGTGCTAATCGGAGGTGCGGGTGGGGTGGGTGTGGGGAAGGACAACAAACCAAAGACGAAATAATTTCTCAACAAGCGGCCCGCTCGGTTTGGGACCTCTCCGCGGTCGGTGCGGGAAGGGGGAACGTGGGGTGAGCGGTTGGGGGGGAGATGCCCTAGTTTTGTCTTTTTAGCGGTCACGTGTCAGAACAATTCGATTATCAAAATATAAACTTCTTAACATCGTGTCTTTGTTTAGTTCGGCGCATAAAAACATCCAAAAATGCGAAAAGGTTCAAGTGAATACCGAAATCGGACAGTCGATATCCTAAACCAATGAACTCCGATATAACCATCGCCGAACACCTGTCCAGTCGTCATCGATCGCCAGGGTCAATCCACTGCTGGACCGAAGGCGCCCCTCAGCCACGCTCCCCCATGCCCAGGCGCCTCCGCAACTCCGCGTCGGTCGTGCCCTCATCCAGAGTCTCTCCCCCCACTGTGCCCTCCCTCGCAGGACGCCCAACCTCAAGAGCGGGTCATGCGAGACCCTGAGCGTGCACAGCACGACCAGCGGCGCGGGCGGCGTGACCCTGCGCCAGCCGGCCAAGAACCGTGCCCGCAACCGCTACAGCAAGCGCTTCTCTCAGGTTAGGGCTCTCCCTCTGCTGCCCCCCCCCCCCCCCCCCCAGGAAGTGTGCGGCCTCGCTGGGCGGGATCTGATAGTCCTGGCCCTGGGCCTGGCCCTGGTCCTGGCCCTGGTTCCTGCCGGGGAATTTTGTACGCGCTTGCAGCTTGGTAATGCGTTTTTTTTCTTTTCCAGACGTCCCGTAGAGTAGTGAATTGCACGGATATTTAACCTCCGGTTACAGAGCGCTTCACGGCAGCGAGATGTTAACTACCTCGCCTGGTATACAGGAGGTCGTGGGTTCGATCCCGACCCCGATGCCTGCTGTATATTTGGAGTAGACATGTCTCTCTCCCCGTGATCGTGTTGATTTTTCTACGGGTCCTCCGATTTTTCTCTCCACGTTTAGAATCGACATCACGCGTTTAGACTATTTGGCCGCTTGCTATACATTTCCACACGATGATAACCCACACTATCATTTGTGGCAGCCAGGTCACTTCTGAAGAAGAGCCATGTAGCGTAGTGGGCCTTACAACTAGACATCTGTGAAACAGAGCTTCACAGCTCATCGGATTCCTCCAGTATAAAATTTAATATTCTGTTCCTGAGAGCGGTTTCCCCGCCGAGCTGTGTGATAACAATTGGCCGATAACACCTTAATATATAGAGGACCGCAAACCTTTGGGCAATTTTGGGTAGCGCCGGGTCTCACTCATTGTTTTTTTCGCTAAAGTCACGTATGTAGAAATACAATAAAATTATATTAAAACAAAAAACAATCACGACGTTTCGATCACAACGCAAGCGATCTTTATCAGGTGTCAAGAACAAATCACGGAGGTAAATACAACAAAAGATGAGAGACGAGAATTCAACAAACCTGAAAAAACATTATGTGAAGCACATCCAGTCAGGCCAACAACACAGTTAGACACTTCCTGGTGGACCACGAATTTCAGAAGAGTGTTAAATTTCGTGTTCAACCTTTGGATTGCACATACCAGCATAGATAGAATGAAAAATACGAGGTACACGGTCAGTAGAAATACATATACAAGTCCACCAAGAGGTAAGGAGGGAGGAAAGACAGACAGGGAGGCAGAGAGAGAGGGGGGGGAAGCCGGAGGGATGAACAGAAGCTTAAATAAGAAATACGGTTGGAGGGGGGAGGGGCCAGAGCGAGAGCGGCAGCTCAAACACGCAACATCTTACACATACAAAACGGCAGCTCAAAAAAGGACCACCTCTTGTAAATACAAAACGGCAGCTCAAAAAATGACCACCTCTTGTAAATACAAAACGGCAGCTCAAAAAAGGACCACCTCTTGTAAATACAAAACGGCAGCTTTATTAGCGCCGGGTCCTCGCCCCCGCGGTTCCTCGTGCCACCGAATCGTCCTCTGTCTCTCTCTACGACCTGGTAAAATAATAAAAACCTATCTGTGGTAGTTAGTCGGGTGGACGCTAAATGGATGGGAGCGACCCAAGCGACGACCGAGGCGGACGCGGCCGGATAAATCCGGAGCTCTCTTCCCAGGTGTTCGGCCGCGGCGGTGCCGGTGCCGGCGCGGGCGGTCAGGCCACACCGCCGCCGCCACCGCGTGGCTCCATCGCAGCCGACGTGGGCGGGCGGCACGCGGAGGACCCCACGGAGCTGTCCACCCAGGTGACGGCGCCCGGCGTGCTCAAGATCTTCGGCGGGGAGATCTCGGCGGGAGCCAACTACAAGAGCGTGCTCGCCACTCCCGCGTCGTCGGCGCAGGTGGGATCGCCGGCGCCAGGACACCCACCCCACCACCACCGCCCCCCCCCCCCGCCGGGCGCGTTCGCCTTCCGCCTGGCCACGGCACAGGGACAGCTGCCACGGGAGGGGGGGGTCCCCTAGGCAAGAACGCTAAAAGGCATTTCAGCACCTGTGCTAGGAATTCAAATTACCTTGCCCGGTATGTGGGAAGTCGTGGGTTCGCTCCCCATCCTGACACGCCCTGGCTAGGAGATGTTGACTGCCTCGCCTGGTATGCAGGAGGTCGTGTGTTCAATCCCGACCCTGACACGCCCTGGCTAGGAGATGTAAACTACCTCGCCTGGTATGCAGGAGGTCGTGCGTTTGATCCTGACACGCCCTGGCCAGGAGATGTTAACTACCTCGCCCCTCCTGACGTCGCCACCGCGCCTGTGCCAGGCTACGTGCGCTTTGAGGCTATCACGTGAAGTGCCGAACGCCCGCTGGCAGGAGGTCACGAGGCAGACCCAGGCGCCGTGGATCGACCGACTGGCGGATTGCACCGCGCGTGCCCCTCTACCACGCCAACTTGTCCGAGTAGCGATCCACGTGGCTCCGAGCGCACGGGACGATTTTGTCTGCTCCATCTCCCCAGTTGTGCTTCCTCTTGGGGCGAGTTTCCCCTTCCTCGCCCCGCCACTCCATGCTGGCCGTCTGCCCCCCCCCCCGCTAGCCACGTGACACCGTCCTCCGCACCAAGCCTCCTTGTTTGTCTTAACACTCAATATGATGTCATCACGTACGTGCGTGCGTGTGTGTGTGTGTGTCCGTGTGTGTGTGTGGGGAGCGGCGGCGTGGCGGTTAGCGCTATGCTGCCGGCAAGAGACCCGGGTTCGATTCCCGTTCACGGCCAACACCGCTGGTGACGATTACCTGAACCGGTCCTGGGCCTCCCCTTGGTCGACTCAGCCTCAAATGAGTACCTGGTGCGGTGTGTAAACATCGCCACTGGAGAGACAAAGGCGGCCGGGCGTGGTGCTGCTGGCCACCCACCCCTCCTATACCGTTCCGGCCTTTATCGGTGCTGGCGAGCAGCACTTGCCCCAACAGTCTGCTGAAGGCTAGTACGGGGGAATCTTTGTCTTAAAAAAATATTTATATAAAACATTGGCCAATAACAACTTCATATATAGAGGATCACAGAGCTTTGCTGGCTCCTCACCGCGTGGATCGTCCTGGAGCCTCCGAGTCGATCCTCTCTCTCTCTCTGTCTGTCTATCGTGGCAGCGCGGTCGATGATTTTGTTGTTGTTGTTGTTATTATTATTCATGATGATAATCATGTTGTTGCTGTTATTATTCTGCTGTACCTAAAACTCCAATCAGAGCCGGTTTCCTTCCTCTTGGGGAAAAAACAAAAAACAAACGACAACTCCCGAGTCTAACTCGACGCAAATGGCAAGGCACCACAGGTTGATGTCGTCGTCATTATTATAAGTCGTGGTGTTAGTCGTGGTGTTAGTCGTGGTGTTAGTCATGGTGTTAGTCGTGGTGTTAGTCGTGGTTTTTAGGCGTGGTATTTTTCGTGTTTTAGTCGTGGTGTTAGTTGTGGTGTTAGTTGTGGTTTTAGTCGTCGTGTTAGTCTTGGTCTTAGTCGTGGTTTTAGTCGTCGTGTTAGTCGTGGTTTTAGTCGTCGTGTTAGCCGTGGTTTTAGTCGTGGTGTTAGTCGTGGTTTTAGTCGTGGTATTAGTCGTGGTGTTATTAGCCGTGTTAGTCGTGGTGTTAGTCGTGGTGTTAGTCGTGGTTTTAGTCGTCGTGTTAGTCTTGGTTTTAGTCGTGGTATTAGTCGTGGTGTTAGTCGTGGTGTTATTCGTGGTGTTAGTCGTGGTTTTAGTCGTGGTGTTATTCGTGGTGTTAGTTGTGGTTTTAGTCGTCGTGTTAGTCTTGGTTTTAGTCGTGGTATTAGTCGTGGTGTTAGTCGTGGTGTTATTCGCCGTGTTAGTCGTGGTTTTAGTCGTGGTGTTATTCGTGGTGTTAGTCGCTTTGCCTCTGGGGTGAATGCGAAGGGGCCTCCCGGCTGCGTCATCGACTGTCCGTTTTACGCGATTCGAGGGAAATGCCGGCGCCTCGTCCGACCACAGCTTAGGGCACCTCCCCGAAAGAAAACAAGAGAAACTAAAACTCTTACACCAGAAATAACTTTTTTTATGTTAACCAGGTAAGGACCCGCTGAGATGTGAAGCTCTTTTTTCAGAAGTGACACTGGCGATCACAAATGACAGCTCAACGAAGTGGCTTGGCTCATTATCATCATCATCACGTAGAAATGTAAAGCAGCCAAATAACCCTAAACGCGTGACGTTGATTTTGAATGTGGAGGGGAAAAACAGGAGGTCCTGGAGAACAATCCACACGACCACGGAGAAAGAGAGAGAGACACGCACACTACAGATGCGCAGTAGGTGTCAGGGTCGGGATCGAACGCACGACCTTCCACATTCCAGGCCAGGTAGTCAACATCTCCTAGCCAAGGCGGCGTCTGGATCGGGATCGCACCCACGACCTCCCGCATACCGGGCGAAGTAGTCAACATCTCCTAGCCAGGGCGGCGTCTGGGTCGGGATCGCACCCACGACCTCCCGCATACCGGGCGAGGTGGTCAACATCTCCTAGCCACCACGGTGTCAGGGTCGGGATCGCACCCACGACCTCCCGCATACCGGGCGAGGTGGTCAACATCTCCTAGCCACCACGGCGAGATGGCATAGCCAGGCGCCGCCGTCGATGACTCGGAGATTTGCACCGCGGCAGAGGCCCTCGGCCACGGCGAGAGAGTCACCGGCGGTGAATCGCTCACCGGACGAAGCAGCATCCTTCTGCAAGCTCCAGGAGCTGTCTGCCACCCCCCTCCCCCTCGGCTTCCTTCCTTCCTCTCTGCTGACGTCCACTTGGCGGGGTTGTGGGGACCAGATCCGTCCCGCAGACGCACGGGAACTTCCTGTAGGGCCCCCACCCCCACCGCCACCAACCTCACGCACGCACCACGCCAACGAGGTCGTCGATTGTTCAGGCGTAGCGTCTGTCCGTGCGTTGGACTTCTTTTGCGCCGTACGCAGCCGGCCGTAGCTAATCGGAGGTGCGCGGGGCGGGTGGAGGATAACTTAACTAACAAACAGAAGCAGTCCTAAAGAAATGGGCGTTCAATTTAGTACAGTGGTGTAGTGTATAGTAGCGTGGTGTAGTGTATAGTGTAGTGTATTGTAGCGTATAGTGCATAGCGTAGTGTGTGTAGTGTATAGTGTATTGTAGCGTATAGCGTAGTGTGTACTGTATTGTAGTGCATAGGGTAGTGTTGTGTGTGCAGTGTGTAGTGTATTGTAGTGTATAGGGTAGTGTGTGCAGTGTATTGTAGTGTATAGGGTAGTGTAGTGTGTGTAGTGTATAAGGTAGCGTAGTGTATCGGGTAGTGTAGTATGTGTAGTGTATAGGGTAGTTTAGTGTGTGTAGTGTATAGGGTAGTGTAGTGTATAGTGTAGTGTAGTGTATAGTGTAGTGTATAGTGTAGTGTATAGTGTAGTGTATAGGGTAGTTTAGTGTGTGTAGTGTATAGTGTAGTGTATAGGGTAGTGTATAGTGTAGTGTATAGGGTAGTGTAGTGTATAGTAGTATATAGGGTAGTGTATAGTGTAGTGTATAGTTTAGTGTATAGTGTAGTGGGGTGTGTATGTATTTATGTTGACCTTTTTTCGCACCATAAGCAGCCAACCGTAGCCAATCGGAGGTGCGGGCGGAAGGATAACAAACGAAGCACCGCAAACGACGAGCAGCTCTCGAGACGCGAGTTTGGTCAATCGAGACGACGACTTACAAGTCCCCACAGCTCCCAGCGCCTTCCTAACACCGGTAGCAAGAAGCAGAGCGTTCCAGACGGCCGCAGAGTCGCAACGCGTCGGAGAGCGCCGCGCGCGACTGGACGCTGTGGCCAGCGTCTCTCCGGCTCGGCCGACGGTCGCAAGCGTTGCCGGTGAACCCCGAGAGAATCGTCGCTGGCGTCCGTCGTGAGAGAATCGTCGCTGGCGTCCGTCGTGAGAGAATCGTCGCTGGCGTCCGTCGTGAGAGGATCGTCGCTAGCGTCCGTCGACGTGGCCACGTGCTCCCCTCTCTCCTCTCTCTCCGTGGCGTCTGTCCCACCACCACCCCCTCCCCCCCCCCCCCCCCCCTTGTCTCTGCGTGGGGTTTCCTCTGGGCTTTCCGGTTTCCTCCCAGAGCAACAACCACAATTTGGGGGCAAAATTGGACATGGGCAGGGTGAAGGAGGGTTGGGGGGGGGGTGCCCATGCCCACAACGCATTCCTTGTCACCCATTTTGCACCACTGCGAAGCCAGTGACGTCACGATGCTGGCACGGCTGGGGGCCTCGAGGTTCCCCGAGGGGTTGGGAGGGCAGTCCCAAGGGGTCTGGAGGGCAGTCCCAAGGAGTCGGGAGGGCAGTCCCGAGGGGTTGAGAGGGCAGTCCCAAGGGGTCTGGAGGGCAGTCCAGAGGGGTCGGGAGGGCAGCCCCAAGGGGTTGGGAGGGCAGTCCCAAGGGGTCTGGAGGGCAGTCCAGAGGGGTTGGGAGGGCAGTCCCAAGGGGTCTGGAGGGCAGTCCAGAGGGGTTGGGAGGGCAGTCCCAAGGGGTTGGGAGGGCAGTGCCGAGGGGTCGGGAGGGCAGCCCCAAGGGGTTGGGAGGGCAGTCCCAAGGGGTCTGGAGGGCAGTCCAGAGGGGTTGGGAGGGCAGTGCCAAGGGGTCTGGAGGGCAGTCCAGAGGGGTTGGGAGGGCAGTCCCAAGGGGTTGGGAGGGCAGTGCCGAGGGGTCGGGACGGCAGTCGCGAGGGGTCGAGAGGGCAGTCCCAAGGGGTTGGGAGGGCAGTACCAATTTTTTTTTTATTTTGTTTTACCCAGGGCTCAACATTTACTGACAGCACTGGACCCAACAGTCTTTTGTCTTTTGTGTGGATGGGACTAGCTAACAGCACTTGCCCCGACAGTCTGTCCGGGTTACCTGGGGGACCTTTGTTGCAGAGCGGCCGCGCACAGAAGGTCGCCGCTGCCATAGCCATGGGGGGCGGGGGGGGGTCAGGAAGAGCGCGAGACGGAGGGGTGGGAACGCCGCCTCTCCGCTTTTTTCGACGCCGAATGATTTCGTTGCCGATTTGCACGTTCACATTTTCTGGGCGAGGCCACTAAAAACAAAAGTGAAGAAAAGGAGTAAAAAAAACCCGCACAAGCCGAGCAATGCCGGATGAAGCTAGGTGCGGGGCCTGTAGGAATGATGTTCTAAAGGGGCCCTAAATAAATAAATAAACACGTAAATTTTAAAACACAAATCTTTTTTTCTTGCATAGTAAAGCAATTGTATTTTTTCATTTGCTATACAGCCAGATAATACGACAAATCGCTAACCTTAAATACCCGGTCGTTCATAAAAGTTGAAGGCGGTATAGTACTACATATGTAGTAGCTACTACATATGCAGCTATTTGTGCTACTTACATATGTAGTAGCTGCATGTGTAGTAGCTGCATATGTAGTAGCTACTACATATGTAGTAGCTACTACATATGTAGTAGCTACTGCATATGTAGTAGCTTCATAGCTGCATGTGAGTAGCTGCATGTGTAGTAGCTGCTACATATGTAGTAGCTGCATAAGTAGTAGCTACATATGTAGAAGCTACATGTATAGTAGCTACGTATGTAGTAGCTACATGTGTAGTAGTAGCTGCATAAGTAGTAGCAGCATGTGTAGTAGCTGCATGTGTAATAGCTGCATGTGTAGTAGTAGCTGCATAAGTAGTAGCTGCATGTGTAGTAGCTGCATGTGTAGTAGCTGCATGTGTAATAGCTGCATGTGTAGTAGTAGCTGCATAAGTAGTAGCTGCATGTGTAGTAGCTGCATAAGTAGTAGCAGCATGTGTAGTAGCTGCATAAGTAGTAGCAGCATGAAAGCTATCACTACATATGTAGTGATAGCTTTCAAGCTATCACTACAGTAGGTGTCAGGGTCGGGCCCTCCGCCACCTGACACTGGGCTAAGGAGGCGGCTTTGCCCCCCAGAGCTGCTGCTCCCGGCCCGGCCGGCCGACGCGGAGCTGCGATCAGCGCGGTCGGCTACGTATGGTGCAAAAGAAGTCCAGCGTACATACATACTTGACGGTGGTGATGGTGGTGATGATGAGGAGGGACTTGCATGATGAGGAAGTGGGGGAAGGTGGTGATGGTGGCGATGCGACCGTCTGGAACGCTCTTCCTTCCAACATTAGGAAGCCACTGGAGCTACGCACTTTTAAACCATCTTGATTGAAAACGGATTTCTTTCCAACTGCTCTTTGTGTCAAGGGTCGTTGTCCTTCCCCCGCAGCCTACGACTAGCGGCTACGTACGGCGCGAAAGAAGTTCAACATTCGCGCGCACCAGAGCAGCGGCGGCCAGCACCCGCGTCGCGGACCACGATCCACGCGCGACGATCTGTGTTTGCTACGCGCGGTGCAACGGAAGGCTCAGCGTGCGTACGTATTAATAATAGCAGAGCTGTGCCGTGACCACCTCCACCACCCACCCCCCCCCGCACCCCACCTCCCCCCGTGCGTGTGCAGGAGCTCGTGAAGGAGGCGCTGGAGCGCTACGGGCTGGAGCGCTCGCTGGCGGGCGACTACGTGCTCTGCGAGGCGGTGGGACGCACGACCGCCGGCGCAGATGGCGGCGGCGGCGGCGGCGACGGCGCCGCGGCGACCGGGGAGGCATCGACGGGGGCCCCCGGCGGCGAGCCCTGGAGTGCCGAGTGCCTGCGCGCCATCGCCGACTACGAGAAGCCGCTGCTCCTCCAGGTGCCGTCGCCGCCGCCGCCGCCGCCGGCGGGGAGCGGTTTAGCCGCGCGGTCCCGGTATTCCGCCGAGCTTCCTCCCTCTCGGTTTTTCTTTCCGTTCCTTTTGGCCACGGAGTTTCGGAAAAGCGACGCCGGGCTCCGCTTGTTGCGGTGAACGTCGCGGCAAAAATCCACGGCTGAGTGTTCAGAGTCGTCGTCGAAATATTTTTTACTTGGCCTGCGGAAATCCGTCGTTTGGGCTCGCCGGTGGTTTCAAGAGCGCCGGCACGCACGCGGACACGCGAGCCGCACGCCGGGCGTGGCACAAAACTGGCCCTCATCTCTCGGCTAACCCCAATACAGCCACGCGTACTCTGCCCATTCGTCTCGGTTAGAAAGTAAACCAAAGTGAAAAAAGTCGAAACAAAAAAATGTATGGCAATGACCCCACATCTATGGGTGACCTCTTTAGCTCGTATCAAAATGTTTTGGGGGGGGGGGAGGGAGAAGAAATAAGAACATGCTTTACTCCTTTCTGGCAATAAAACACGTGGTGGTGGTGGTGGTAGTGCTGGTGGTGGTGGTGATGGTGCTGGTGGTGGTGTTAAAAATGTTCAAACGCCAGAGACGTACACCGCTTGGGAGGCACCAAGTCTCCATTAGCCACATATCGCGCTTGTGGCACTGCGTTGCAGGCCCTGTGGAAGCCACGGGAGGGATACTCGCGGAGGCTCGAGCTGCGGCCTCGTGCCAAGGTGGAGGAGTCAGCGGGTGAGCGAGACACCCTGACGGCCGGTGGGTCTACGAATTTTGCCGTGCCCGGAAAATATCCTGCGACCTTTTTGTCCATCCCGTGTGTCCATTAGTTTGTCAGTCCGTCCGTACGTCCATCTGTCTGTCCATCCATCCGTCTGTCCGTCCGTCCGTCCGGCCATCCATCCATTCGCGTGTCTGTCTGTCCACCCATCCGTCTGTGTGTCTGACTGGCCATTCATCCATTCATCTCTCTGTCCGTCCATCCATTCCCGTGTCTGTCTGTCCATCCATCCGTCTGTCTGTCTCTGTCAATCCATCTCTCTGTCCGTCCATCCATTCCCGTGTCTGTCTGTCCATCCATCCGTCTGCCTGTCTGTCTCTGTCTATCCATCCATCTCTCTGTCCCTCTATCCGTTTGTGTGTCCATCCATCCATCCATCCGTCTGTCCATCCGTCAATGTGCTTCTGCTGCAGTGTGGAATGCCCTTCCTTCCGATAACACGAAGCCACTGGGAGCTCTGCTCTTTTAAATCCTCTATAGATAGATTGACAGACTCAACTCTTTAGAAATGCTTTTTTTGTCTTCAGTTTGTTGTCCTTCCCCCGCACCTCCGATTGGCACGGTTGGGCTACGTACACAGAAGTTCAACGCGCACACACGCACGCACACACACACACGCACACACAAAGACAAAGACAAAGATCCCCCATATAGCCTGTAACAGACTGTAGGGGCAAGTGCTGTTAGCGAGCACCTATGAAGGCCGGAACGGTACACGAGGGGGTGGGTGGCCAGCACCACGCCCGACCGCCTTTGTCTCCCTAGTGGCGATGTTTACACACCGCACCAGGTACTCATTTGAGGCTGAGTCGACCTAGGGGAGGCCCGGGACCGGTTCAGATAATCGTCACTGGTGTTGGCCGTGAGCGGGAATCGAACCCAGGTCGCCAGGTTCATAGCGCAGCGCGCTAACCGCTACACTACCGCTCCCCACACACACACACGCACACACACACGCACGCACACACACGCACGCACACACACACACGGCGACGGGCGATTGTGGAGCGCACGGGAGCAAAGAGGGCGCGGATATCACGGCGGGAAGATGTCGCTGCTGCTTTCAGCTGGGAACCCGTTTTCGGTTTTTGCGACAGTGCCCCCAAGACATTCTTGCAAGGGTGGGGGGGGGGGGTCCTCACTTTGATGCCCGGACCGAAATAAATCTCCCCGGCGGTGGAGGGTGGGTGGAGGGGGCTCGTCTGGGACCCTAGAAATCCGCGCAATTAAGATTCCTGCCAGCGTGTCCGATAGCCTGGCGGCGAGCACCGCTGAGGAGCGACGACTATTTTGCGTCTGCGACGGCGAGAGAGGAGGAGGAGGAGGAGCGGCACCACCTGTGCTTGTCCTTAACGTCGCCACGCGTCTTCACGTCCGTGCGTGGGTCCGTGCGGGCGGGCGGGCGAGGCAATGGCGGACGAAGTGCACGCGGGGTGGGGGGGGTGCGACGGGGGGGAGGCAGGGGGGCAGGAGGAGGAAGATAGATAGGTAGAGGCTGTCCATAAATGACGTCACGCACCTGGGGGGGGGGATTGTCAGACATTTGTGACGATGTGTGACGAGGGAGGGGAGGGGGAGGTTTGAGAAATGTGACGTCACATCAAAATGCGCAACTTTAAATAAATATAGACAACACGTTCTACTTAATTAAATAAGACTTTTTAATAAATGTTTTCTCCTACAACATCAGAGTGCAGCGCCACATTAAATACGCACTACAATGACAATAGTTTAAAGAGATTTGAAGCATGTTTTTTTTGGGGGGGGGGAGGGGGGGCAGAGCTTTGTGACGTCATATTTGAGGAGGGGTCTAACTTTTTGTGACGTCATATTTGAGGGGGGTCTGACTTTTTTGTGACGTCATATTTGAGGTGGGGGAGGGGTCTGACTTTTTGTGACGCCGTGTGACGAAGAGGAGGGGGGGGGGTCAAAAATCGTCCAAAAAGATAGAAAGGTAGGTGTATCGATAAATCAATGGTGGAGGAGCTTAATAATACAACATTTGGCCAGATCATTTAAGTGGCCCGACTGAAAAGGCAGTCGTGAATGATGTGTAAGTCTTCCTGCGAGTCGCCTGCCCTTCCTCCGATCCACTTTCGCCTCTCCGCCCACGGAGTTTGCACGCAGACCCGACACTCGGAGAACTCAGGATCGGACCCGCAATCTTGATTTAGACTTGCGGGAGGAGTCCGATGGGCAATGACGCCCCGGGGCACGGGGTGAGCAAGTTACCGCGGGGAACAATGCACGCAAACAACGATAGCAGTGACAAACGGAGGCAATGGTGAGCAAGTCACTAAATATGAATTAGTAAGGAAATAACACATTGGAAATGCACAGCGGCCAAATGCTATTAAACGTCGTGACGTTGATTCTAAATGTGGAGGGGGAAAAAACCGGAGGACCTGGAGAAAAATCCACGCGACCACGGGGAGAGAGAGAGACAGAGAGAGAAGCAAACTCCAAATATACAGCAGCAGGCTTTGTCAAGGTTGGGTTCGAACCCACGACCTCCTGTACACCAGGCGAGGTAGTTAACATCTCACCACGGAGAGAGAAGCAAACTCCAAATATACAACAGCAGCAGGCGTCAGGGTCGGGATTGAACCCACGACCTCCTGCACACCAGGCGAGGTAGTTAACATCTCCTAGCCACCGCGGCTCGGCTGTGGCCCAGCTCATGGAAAATCCTGCGCGCGGCCGAGTCCGTGGCTCAGAGCCGGCTCGAGTGAAGCGCGGCAGCTTCGAGCGACGGCCTCCACTTGAGCCTGAGCCGAGCTCTGAACATGTGCGGAAAAATTTAGCCTCACGGTTCATCGGATTCCTCCAGCACCCATGCCGATCCTGATTCTGAGCCGAGCCGTGGAGTTCACATTCCCATTAAAATCGCGCGCAATTCACTCCCCCCCCCCCCCGCCCCCCCCCCCGCCCCCCCCCCCCCCCGCCACCCCGCAGGCATCAACGCGCAGGCGCGGCGGCTGCAGATGAGCCGCTCGCGCGTCTCCACCGTGATGAGCGCGTCGCCCCAGCTGGGCCCGCCCGCGGTGCCCAACGGCGGCTACGCCGAGTGGATCGCGTCGGCCAGCGACCTGCGGCGCACCGTCAGCGACATGCACATCCCGCAGCGGACGCTCTGCGGCGGCGGCGGCGGCGGCGACGGGGGCGGCGACGGGGGGAGCCCCGCGCCTCCCGCCGCCAGGGCGGCGCCGACGTCGCGGCCGTGCCGCGCGCTGGCGCCCATCGAGGGCGACTACGACCTGTGCACGGGGCCGGCGCTGCCGCTGCGCGGGAGGCCGCTGGGCGACGACCCGGGGCGCTACGCCGCCGTGCGCCCGCCGGCGGACACGCCGTACCTGCTGCTGCTGCAGGGCTGCGACGGAGCGCAGGTTCGGGGCGAGCGCGGCCCAACGCAAACCCCCCCCCCCACCACCCCACAACACCCCCCACCGCCCCCCAATCCCCACCCCCCCCCACCCCCCCCCCCACCTTTCCGCCGGCACGACGGAGCCACGCCGGCTCAGCACGGGAGGCGCGGGGTCAGTTTGCGCTGTGGTAGGGCGCCACGGTGGATAGGAGATGTTGACTACCTCGCCCGGTACGCAGGACGTCGTGGGTTCGATCCCGACCCTGACGCGCGTGAACCGCGGCGGCTAACGTGGGGGGCCCCTCCCCTACCCTCCCCCCCCCCTCCCCCTCCCCTCCCCCTCCCCACGCCTCCCCCGAATTCCCGACGGCCGCCGCAGGACCTGCGGGTGTACCTCCTCGACGGCGCGCGCCATTCCATCGGGAGGGGCGCCGCCTCCGACCGGCCTCAGGACTCCGGCGACGACCGCCCGGACATCTTGCTGTGGGCGCCCGACATCCTGCCGCGGCACTGCCGCATCTCGCGCTCCGACCCGCAGCCGCAGAGCCCGGCGGCGGCGGCGCCGGCGGCGCCGGCGACGGAGGCCGCCGGCGCCCGGCCGCCGCCGCGGCGGCGGAGGGCGCCGCTCGTGCTGCGCCCGTTCCGCGGCGCCGCCGTGACGCGCAACGGCGTCCGCCTCGAGCGGCCCGCCGAGCTCCGGCGGGGCGACGTCGTGGCGCTGGGCGAGCGCTACCTCTTCCTGTTCGAGGACCCCGCCGAGCCGGGCCACCTTCCGTCCGCCGGCAAGCTCTCGTCGCCCGGCGGCGCCTGCAAGCTGTGCGGCGCGTCGGCCCGCGGCGGCGGCGGCGGCGGCGGCGGCCGCCCGGCGGCTCGCGTCCACTCGGACGCCAACTCCGAGCTCCGCTCGGCGATGTCGCTGGAGTACGACCCGGCGCTGGAGGACGTCCTGCTCGACGAGATCGTCGGCCTGGTGTCGCCCGGCAGCGATGGCTACCAGCTCACGCCCGCGTACCTCTTCTGCCTGTGCGTCCAGCATTCGGCGTTCAACTTCCGACCGGCGGACTTTCGGCGCCTGCTGCTTAAGGTGGCCAACCTGCTGCAGACCATCGCCTGGGTGAGCGCTCGCGCGACGCGGGGGGGGGGGGGGGGGGGGGGGGGGACGCGCGGCGCGCTGCGTGACCCGGGCCCGCGTGGCAACGGCGAGGGGCCGTGCTATTTGAGGGTTTTCGCGGTGCCTGATGACGTCTCGTCCTGTGCTGTGCTTGCAGGAGAAGACCAAAGAGCTCGCCGAGAAGCAGCCGGAACAGTGAGTGTTGGACACCCTCGCCGCGCTGCGAGCCACCGCGGCCTACGTCGTGAAAACAAATTGATGTGATAGTGCCACAGGGGCCGTCCACGAATGACGTCACGCACCTAGGGGAGTGCGGGGTCAGACATTTGTGACGACTGAGCGCAGCGTCACTTTATATGCGCACCGCAATGACAATAGTTTAAAGCGATTGGAAGCGTGTGTTATTTTGGCTGGGGGGCGGGGGGGGTGGGGGGGGGGGGCAGAGCTTTGTGACGTCATATTTGAGGGGGGGGTCTGACTTTTTGTGACGCCGTGTGACGAGGGGGGGTGTCAAAAATCGTCAAAAATCGCGTGACGTCATTTATGGACGGCCCCACATTCTAACAACACCAGCCTGTAGCCCCATCTGCGGTACTATTACTGACGCCACCGCTGCTGCTCCTGCTGCTGCTCCTGCTGCTCCTGCTGCTGCTCCTGCTGCTGCATACTGCGCCTGTTTGATTCCACGCGTCCATCAGATTACCATCCCACTGGGATTTTCGCACACAGCTTTGATATACGGTGCTTTTTTCCGTAAGTTTTACTTGTTTTTTTTTTCCTGGATGTTTCTTTGTTCGTGTTTTTGTTTGTTGCGGTTGCACCCGAGTCAAGAGCCTCATGGCTCACAGGGCTGTAACCTAGTAAGTGAAGCTGAAAAGCTGAAGCCGAAACCTCAACAGGGGAACTCTCGACCTCTGCGCGCCCCCTCGCCCGCTTCGTACGTAACCGACCGTGCTAATCGGAGGTGCAGTGTTGAGTCTATGGGCAGTGTTGAGTCTATGGGCAGTGTTGAGTCTATGGGCAGTGTTAGTCTATGGGTAGTGTTAGTGTATGGGTAGTGTTGAGTCTATGGGCAGTGTTAGTCTATGGGTAGTGTTAGTGTATGGGTAGTGTAAGTGTATGGGTAGTGTTAGTGTATGGGCAGTGTTAGTGTATGGGCAGTGTTGAGTCTATGGGTAGTGTTAGTGTATGGGTGGTGTTAGTGTATGGGTGGTGTTAGTGTATGGGTAGTGTTGAGTCTATGGGCAGTGTTAGTCTATGGGTAGTGTTAGTGTATGGGCAGTGTTGAGTCTATGGGCAGTGTTAGTGTATGGGCAGTGTTAGTATATGGGCAGTGTTAGTGTATGGGCAGTGTTGAGTCTATGGGCAGTGTTAGTGTATGGGCAGTGTTAGTCTATGGGTAGTGTTAGTGTATGGGCAGTGTTGAGTCTATGGGCAGTGTTAGTGTATGGGCAGTGTTAGTATATGGGCAGTGTTAGTGTATGGGCAGTGTTGAGTCTATGGGCAGTGTTAGTGTATGGGCAGTGTTAGTATATGGGCAGTGTTAGTGTATGGGCAGTGTTGAGTCTATGGGTAGTGTTAGTGTATGGGCAGTGTTAGTGTATGGGCAGTGTTAGTGTATGGGTGGTGTTAGTGTATGGGTAGTGTTAGTCTATGGGCAGTGTTGAGTCTATGGGTAGTGTTAGTGTATGGGCAGTGTTAGTCTATGGGCAGTGTTAGTGTATGGGCAGTGTTGAGTCTATGGGTAGTGTTAGTGTATGGGCAGTGTTAGTCTATGGGCAGTGTTAGTGTATGGGCAGTGTTAGTGTATGGGTAGTGTTAGTGTATGGGCAGTGTTAGTCTATGGGTAGTGTTGAGTCTATGGGTAGTGTTGAGTCTATGGGTAGTGTTAGTGTATGGGCAGTGTTAGTCTATGGGTAGTGTTGAGTCTATGGGCAGTGTTAGTCTATGGGCAGTGTTAGTGTATGGGCAGTGTTAGTCTATGGGTAGTGTTGAGTCTATGGGTAGTGTTGAGTCTATGGGTAGTGTTAGTGTATGGGCAGTGTTAGTCTATGGGTAGTGTTAGTGTATGGGCAGTGTTAGTCTATGGGTAGTGTTAGTCTATGGGCAGTGTTAGTCTATGGGCAGTGTTAGTGTATGGGCAGTGTTAGTCTATGGGTAGTGTTGAGTCTATGGGTAGTGTTGAGTCTATGGGTAGTGTTAGTGTATGGGCAGTGTTGAGTCTATGGGCAGTGTTAGTCTATGGGTAGTGTTAGTCTATGGGTAGTGTTAGTCTATGGGCAGTGTTGAGTCTATGGGCAGTGTTAGTCTATGGGTAGTGTTGAGTCTATGGGTAGTGTTGAGTCTATGGGTAGTGTTAGTGTATGGGTAGTGTTAGTGTATGGGCAGTGTTAGTGTATGGGAAGTGTTAGTGTATGGGCTGTGTTAGTGTATGGGCAGTGTTAGTGTATGGGCAGTGTTAGTGTATGGGTAGTGTTAGTGTATGGGCAGTGTTAGTCTATGGGTAGTGTTAGTGTATGGGTAGTGTTAGTCTATGGGCAGTGTTATTGTATGGGCAGTGTTAGTCTATGGGTAGTGTTAGTGTATGGGCAGTGTTAGTGTATGGGCAGTGTTAGTGTATGGGCTGTGTTAGTGTATGGGCAGTGTTAGTGTATGGGCAGTGTTAGTGTATGGGCAGTGTTAGTCTATGGGTAGTGTTAGTGTATGGGTAGTGTTAGTGTATGGGTAGTGTTAGTGTATGGGCAGTGTTAGTCTATGGGTAGTGTTAGTGTATGGGCAGTGTTAGTCTATGGGCAGTGTTAGTGTATGGGCAGTGTTGAGTCTATGGGCAGTGTTAGTCTATGGGCAGTGTTAGTGTATGGGCAGTGTTAGTGTATGGGCAGTGTTGAGTCTATGGGCAGTGTTAGTGTATGGGCAGTGTTAGTGTATGGGTAGTGTTAGTGTATGGGCAGTGTTAGTGTATGGGCAGTGTTAGTGTATTGGCAGTGTTAGTATATGGGCAGTGTTAGTGTATGGGTAGTGTTAGTCTATGGGTAGTGTTAGTGTATGTGTAGTGTTAGTGTATGGGCAGTGTTAGTCTATGGGCAGTGTTAGTCTATATGTAGTGTTAGTCTATGGGTAGTGTTAGTGTATGGGCAGTATTAGTATATTGGTAGTGTTAGTGTATGGTCAGTGTAGTGTTAGTCTATGGGTAGTGTTAGTGTATGGGCAGTGTTAGTCTATGGGTAGTGTTAGTGTATGGGCAGTGTTAGTGTATGGGCAGTGTTAGTGTATGGGCAGTGTTAGTGTATTGGCTGGCAGCATTTGTCGAAGGGTCCACGCCCTGTTGATGGAATCTGCGGGACTTGTGGGGAATTGTTGGTACCGGTTCACCGCGTGGCTGCTGGCTTCCCGCTCGTCACGTGCGTATCAAATTAAAATAATAAATAAAACGTGTGCTTTATTCTCCGTGAAGAAACAGAGGGGTGGGGTCCGCTTACACTTGGTGGGATCCGAGAGACGTAAACAAAAATAGAGATGAGTGAGATGAGAGAGGAGATGCACAGGCGAGATGGAGATGGGAGGAGGCCAATTGGCTTTCGCGTTAATCGCCTCCTCACGTTTATCGGGATTTCAATTGGAAGACGATGTTTGACGCACGCCCCGATTTCAATACGAATTAACGCGGGCCCCCCTCTTCCCTTGAACGCGGTGGCTAGGAGATGTTAACTACCTCGCCTGGTATACAGAAGGTCGTGTGTTCGATCCTGGCCCTGACGCCTGCTGCTGTATGTTTGGAGTTTGCGTGCCTCTCTCTCTCATCATCATCACGGTGGCTAGGAGATGTTAACTACCTCGCCTGGTATACAGGAGGTTGTGGGTTCGATCCTGACCCTGACGCCTGCTGCTGTATATTTGGAGTTTGTGCGTCTCTCTCTCTCTCCCCGTGGTCGCGTGGATTTTTCTCGAGGTCCTCCGGTTTATCCCCTCCACATTTACAAACATGCGTTTGGAGTATATAAACATTTCGTTAAATTCATCTTTTTTTGCTAAATGCGTTTAATAAATAAAAAATGTGTTTTATAGTTTCAATAGGTTGGGAGGGTGGGGGCACCGTAAGTTTTTTAGCTCGCTTGTTTTTGACGTCCCCACGAGCGACGCTGCATGTTCACTGTCCCCACCCCCTCCCCGCCACGTGAGTCCACCGCACCGCGACAGATCTCTCCGTGACGGCATCACAAACCGAGTGGATCGGCACCCAACAAAGGTCGGGCGCTCGAGAGAGATTAGCGGCGCGGATTTTCGCCGGAGCAATCGACAGATCGTAATCCTCGGCTTTCCCGTCCGACTCGCCCGCCGATGTTCGCTCAGCGGGGGCCGGCGGTGGCTATGAGATGTTAACTACCTCGCCTGGTACACAGGAGGTCGTGGGTTTGAACTCGACCCTGACACCTGCTGCTGTATGTTTGGAGTTTGCGTGTCTCTCTCCGTGGTGAGATGTTAACTACCTCGCCTGGTGTGCAGGAGGTCGTGGGTTTGAACTCGACCCTGACGCCTGCTGCTGTATATTTGGAGTTTGCGTCTCTCTCCGTAGTGAGATGTTAATTACCTCGCCTGGTACGCAGGAGGTCGTGGGTTCGAACCCGACCCTGACGCCTGCTGCTGTATATTTGGAGTTTGCGTCTCTCTCCGTGGTGAGATGTTAATTACCTCGCCTGGTACGCAGGAGGTCGTGGGTTCGAACCCGATCCTAACGCCTGCTGCTGTATATTTGGAGTTTGTGTGTGTGTCTCTCTCTCTCTCTCCCCGTGGTCGCGTGGATTTTTCTCCGGCTCCTCCGGTTTCTCGCCCTCCCCCCGCATTTAGAATCTACGTCACGCGTTCATCGTTAATTTGGCTGCTCGAAATTTCCCCACGATAAATGATGAGCCTACTTTCGTCGGCCCGTCATTTGCGATCGCCAGGTCGTTTCTGAAAAAGAGCTTCAGTTTTAGAGCTCAGTGAGCTTGACCCGGTAAAATCAACAACAGTTGAGTAACAAAAAAAATTTTCTTAGTTGAAATAGTTCAATAATTGGCTCCCGTTAGCGATCCGGCCGTGTTTCGCTCGCACACACACAAAAAAAAAACCGCGACGCGAATTCACTGCCAAGTAAATAAACACGCAAGTAACGGTCCGTCGCTCGCACTCAGCCCCGCGATCGTTCGTGATGTGCGCGATCGGCATTCGGCGAACGATGCCGCGAACCCAACGGGGAAATTTTTTTGTTGTTCGGCAAACGCGCCGAAATCTGGCGAGCGAACGCGGGGACCTGACGACAGCGACCGGACGTGGCAGGAGGATTCGGTTGTAGGAACGCGACCCAGAGAGACGGATTCTTGTTGTAGTAGTAGTTGTTGTTGAATCTCCCGGGGGGAAAGTTCCGAGCAAAGCGAGGATGGCTTGCGAAAGTTGGACTCGGGGACGAATGGGGGAGGAGGGATGGGGGTGTTGGGGGGGGGGGGCAGGAGAAAGATTCACGCGGAACGAGGAGTCGACGCTGGGCGCGTGGAGACGTGCGGAGAGCGTGGGCTGGGGGGGGTGGACGTGCCTGGAACACGCAGCAGAGTGCGTGTGTCTGTGTGTGTGTACGAGTGCGTGTGTACGTGTGTGTGTGTACGTGTGTGTGTACGTGTGTCTGTGTGTCTGTGTGTGTGTACGAGTGCGTGTGTACGTGTGTACGTGTGTCTGTGTGTGTGTACGTGTGTCTGCGTGTGTGTACGAGTGCGTGTGTACGTGTGTGTGTGTACGTGTGTGTGTACGTGTGTCTGTGTGTCTGTGTGTGTGTACGAGTGCGTGAGTGCGTGTGTACGTGTGTACGTGTGTCTGTGTGTGTGTACGTGTGTCTGCGTGTGTGTACGAGTGCGTGTGTACGTGTGTGTGTGTACGAGTGCGTGTGTACGTGTGTGTGTGTGTGTACGTGTGTGTGTGTACGTGTGTCTGTGTGTCTGTGTGTGTGTACGAGTGCGTGTGTACGTGTGTGTGTACGAGTGCGTGTGTACGTGTGTGTGTGTACGTGTGTGTGTACGTGTGTCTGTGTGTCTGTGTGTGTGTACGAGTGCGTGTGTACGTGTGTGTGTGTGTACGAGTGCGTGTGTACGTGTGTGTGTACGTGTGTCTGTGTGTGTGTACGAGTGTGTGTGTCTGTGCGTCTGTGTGTGTACGTGTGTGTGTACGTGTGTCTGTGTGTGTACGAGCGTGTGTGTACGTGTGTGTGTACGTGTATCTGTGTGTGTGTACGAGTGTGTGTGTGTACGTTCGTCTGTGTATGTGTACGAATGTGTGTGTACGAGTGTGTGTGCGTGTACGTGTGTCTATATGTACGAGTGTGTGTATGTGTGTGTGTGTATGAGTGTGTGTGTGTGTACGTGTGTGTGTACGAGTGTCTGTGTCTGTGTGCGGGTGTGTACGAGTGTGTGTGTGTGTGGGGAGCGGTAGCGCGCTGCGCTACGAACCCGGCGACCCGGGTTCCATTCCCGCTAACGGCCAACACCAGTTGACGATTATCTAAACCGGTCCTGGGCCTCCCCTAGGTCGACTCGGCCTCAAACCAGTACCTGGTGCACTGTGTAAACATCGCCACTGGGGATACAAAGGCGGTCGGGCGTGGAGCTGGCCACCCTCCCCTCGTGTCCCGTGCCGGCTTTCATAGGTGCTCGCTAACAGCACTTGCCCCAACAGTCTGTTCAGTCTATACGGGGATCTTTGTTTTGTGTGTGTGTACGTGCTTGTGTGTGTGCCATGAGGGGAATGGCTAATTGAGATTGGCATTCCCCCAGTGCCGGATGATCCTCCTAGCACAAGTAGCTACAAATGCTACGGGCCCCGCACTTTCAAGGGCCCCGCGCTAAATGCTTTCAAGCTATCAATTCCGGATCAGTGATTCTGCACTTGCTCTATTACTATAGTACTATACCGCCTTCAACTTTTACGAACGACCGAGTGTTTAAGTTTAGCGATTTGTCGTATTATCTGGCTGTATAGCAAATGAAAAAATACAATTACTTTACTATGCAAGTAAAAAAAATGTGTTTTAATATTTACGTGTTTTTTTATTTTATTTAGGGCGCCTTTATAACATTATGCTACAGGACCCGCACCTAGCTTCATCCGGCACTGCCGAGGAGGTAGGGGGTAGTGTAGCGGTTAGGTCGTGGTAGCCTGGATAGGTGCTCGGTGGCTATGAGATGTTAACTACCTCGCCTGGTATGCAGGAGGTCGTGGGTTCGATCCCGACCCTAACGCCTGCTGCTGTATATTTGGAGTTTGCGTCTCTCTCTGTGGTGAGATGTTAACTACCTCGCCTGGTGTATAGGAGGTCGTGGTTCAATCCCGACCCTGACGCGCCCTGTATATGTGGAGTTTGCGTGTTTCTCTGTGGTGAGATGTTAACTACCTCGCCTGGTGTACAGGAGGTCGTGGGTTCGATCCCGACCCTGACGCGCCCTGTATATTTGGAGTTTGCGTGTCTCTCTGTGGTGAGATGTTAACTACCTCGCCTGGTGTACAGGAGGTCGTGGGTTCAATCCCGACCCTGACGCGCCCTGTATATGTGGAGTTTGCGTGTCTCTCTGTGGTGAGATGTTAACTACCTCGCCTGGTGTTCAGGAGGTTGTGGGTTCAATCCCGACCCTGACGCCTGCTGCTGTATATTTGGAGTATGCGTCTCTCTCTGTGGTGAGATGTTAACTACCTCGCCTGGTATACAGGAGGTCGTGGGTTCGATCCCGACACTGACGCGCCCTGTATATGTGGAGTTTGCGTCTCTCTCTGTGTTGAGATGTTAACTACCTCGCCTGGTGTACAGGAGGTCGTGGGTTCGATCCCGACGCTGACGCGCCCTGTATATGTGGAGTTTGCGTCTCTCTCCGTGGTGAGATGTTAACTACCTCGCCTGGTGTGCAGGAGGTCGTGGGTTCAATCCCGACTCTGACGCCTGCTGCTGTATATGTGGAGTTTGCGTCTCTCTCCGTGGTGAGATGTTAACTACCTCGCCTGGTGTGCAGGAGGTCGTGGGTTCAATCCCGACTCTGACGCCTGCTGCTGTATATGTGGAGTTTGCGTCTCTCTCTCCCCATGGTCGCGTGGATTTTTCTCCTCCGTTTTTTTCCGCTTCCGCATTTAGAATCGACGTCGCCACGCGTTCAGAGTTATTTGTCCGCTATAAATTCCCACGCGATGACGATGAGCCCACTTCGCTGAGAGCTACCATTTGTGATCACCTGGTGAAATAAAATTAAAAAAATGGCTCATTATTTTATAGTACAGCTTCACGAAAACGAACCGGAGGAGGCTGAGAAAGTGCTCAGCAAAGACGGGCGGAGAGAGATGCGCGCCGGGACGAAGACTCCGAGACGGAGAGAGGAGCACCTCGATTGGTTAGAGGCAGGGGTCAAACTGTTGGAAACGGGGGGGGGGGGGGTCAGCGAGAGGTCACGGTTCAGAGAGGGGACGGTGGTGATGATCAGCAACGGTTGATGATTAGCACGGTTGGCTACGGTGCGGTGCGAACCAAGTTCAACGTGCCATGCGCACATGGCGAATTGACGACCGATTTAACCTCGCTGGGCTCTCACGTGGTTCGAAAACAAACCCTCGCTGTCTCTCTGCCTGCCCATCACAATTTCCTTTGGATCCCAAGCGGCGCCCCACACAGACAATTGGGTACGGCAAAAAAGACCTCCCGTGGCAGACAACGGCCGTGAGGAATGTCCCTGCTGCTGCCTCTTCAGTTCAGCGAGAGAGAGAGATGAGCCAGAGAACAGAGAGAGGCCAGAGATTGACTGCCGGGCATCTGCGAAAAAGAGCTTCGTAGCTCGACGGATTTCTCCAGGCGGACCCCGCCACAAACCCGGCTGACCCGAGTTCGAGTCCCGCCCGCGGCCCACCAACGCCCAGCGACGACTCATCCGTACCGGTTCCCGGGCGCTCCCGTAGGCCGCCCCGATTTTTCCCGTCTCCCTGCGGCGGGGGGGGGGGGGTGGTGAGGGTGGCCCCGTGGCCGCACCGATGCCACCAAAACATCCGCGGAGACCGCCGGCGCGCGAGCCGCGATGCCGCGCGCCGGCGTCGTGCCGCCGATTATTTTTTCGCTCTGCTCTTGCTCCAACTCCCCTTTCTCCTCGCCCCCTCCGCGGCGCAGGCGGGAGCGGAGCGGAGGGGACGCCGGCGGCGGCGGGGACGGGGACGCCGGCGGCGGCGGGGACGGGGACGCCGGCGCGGGCGACGCCGAGCTGGTGCGGGAGCTGCGGCCGATCGCCTTCTGGATGTCCAACGCCGTGGAGCTGCTCCACTTCCTCCGCCAGAGAGTTCCCGAGCTGGCGCGCGACGCCGACGACGCCAACGGCCACGGTACCGGTGCGGCCCTCGTGGCGCGTGGGTGGAGTGGGGGGGGGGGGGGGGCGCGTGGGGGGGGAGGGGCGCGGGGGGGGGTGGCGGCGGTTCGCCGAGGTCAAGTCGATTGGCAGGTCGCGTACGGTGGGGTCAAGTGTGGGTACTCCCCCCCCCACTTCTCTTCCACTGACATCTGACATCTTGGGGTGGGGGCTCAGTCTCACTCCTGTGGCTTGTGTTTAATGTATCGCTATGGGTCTCTATGTGTCTCTACGTTTCCACATACCTCTGTGTGTCTCTGTGGGTCTCTGTACATCTCTGCAAATCTGTATGTGTCGCTATGTATCTCTAAACACCTCTGTGTAAATGTACGTAAGTCTGTGGGTCTCTACGTATCTCTATATGTCTCTACGTACCTCTATGCGTCTCCGCGTCTCTTGTGTGTCTCTGTGGGTCTCTATAGGTATCGGAATATCTGTACGTCTAGCTATGTGTATCTATGTATCTCTGTGTGCCTCCACGTATCTATGTGTGTCTCTATGGGTTAACTATACCGTCCATAGTTAGGGTCACATGACTACAGTCGCCCTCCTGTTGCCCGTGTCTTAATGTTCCTTTCATGAAGGAGACACGCACATCAGGTCTGTTGTTGTTGATGTCCTGATGATGCGGTTGATGGTTCCACCACCAGTGTCTCCGACGAGGAATGTCACAGGCAGGAGGAGGTGCGATGATGACGTTTTGGGTCTCGAATGAGGAGGTGTTGATTAATGTGGACGTCCGCGTTGCTTCACTCGGTTCGTGCAGCAGCAGCAGCGTTCTGCTGGGTCTGAGTGGTGATGAAGGCCGCTTGTGTTGTGGCCGAAACGTCGTGAGAATTTTATTGTGTTATTTTATTTTATCAATTTATTATTTTATTCTCATTCTACGTGACTTTACCGAAAGAACCAAAGAAGATCAGCAGCAGCGTTCTGCTGGGTCTGAGTAGTGAGATTCTAGGATGGTGACATCAGCAGCAGCGTTCTGCCGGGTCTGAGTGGTGAGATTCTAGGATGGTGACATCAGCAGCAGTAGCAGCGTTCTGCTGGGTCTGAGTGGTGAGATTCTAGGATGATGACATCAGCAGCAGCAGCGTTCTGCCGGGTCTGAGTGGTGAGATTCTAGGATGGTGACATCAGCAGCAGTAGCAGCGTTCTGCTGGGTCTGAGTGGTGAGAGTCTAGGATGGTGACATCAGCAGCAGCGTTCTGCTGGGTCTGAGTGGTGAGATTCTAAGATGGTGACATCAGCAGCAGCAGTAGCAGCGTTCTGCTGGGTCTGAGTGGTGAGATTCTGGGATGGTGACATCAGCAGCAGCGTTCTGCTGGGTCTGGGTGGTGAGATTCTAGAATGGTGACATCAGCAGCAGCGTTCTGGGTGGTGAGATTCTAGAATGGTGACATCAGCAGCAGCGTTCTGCTGGGTCTGAGTGGTGCGATTCTAGGATGGTGACATCAGCAGTAGCAGCGTTCTGCTGGGTCTGGGTGGTGAGATTCTTGGATGGTGACATCAGCAGCAGCAGCAGCGTTCTGCTGGGTCTGGGTGATGAGATTCTAGGATGGTGACATCAGTAGCAACGTGATCCCAGAGGGGATGAGATCAGGACTTATCGGCGAGGTGATATCGTTGCGGTCTTGGTGAATGATGGTTATAGGTGGACGTCGTTGGCAAGAAAACGTGTCAACTTCCTTATATGCGTGTACGCATGTTGAACTTCTTTCGCACCGTACGTAGCCAACCGTGCTGATCGGAGGTGCGGGGCAAGGGCAGTTTGTGCGACGCCCCCGCGGATATTTGGTGGCAGATCGGGCAAACGGATTTGATGTGGCCACAGGTCCCCCGTAGGGAGACGGGAACATGGGCCGACCTTGGGGGAGGCCCAGAAACCGGTTCAGACAATCGTCACCGGCGTTGGCCGCGAGCGTGAATCGAAGCCCGCGTCGCCGGGTTCGTAGCGCAGCGTGGCACTAACCGCTACACCACCGCTCCCCACACACACGGAAGACACACGCGCGCGAGCACACATGCGCACACACACACACACATCCACCGCAGATGTGCACATGCGTGCACGAACAACACAACAGGAAAGGGCTGCGATTTCTACCCTGGCCGTTTGAGCCACTTTCCGGCCTCTAACTTTAGTGGGAGGGGGTGGGTGGTGGAGGAGAGAATAGAGAGAGCGGGGAGTGGTGGTGGTGGTGGTGGCGGCGGTGGAGGTAGTGGAAGGGAAGGGTGGGTGGGGGGTGGTTAGTTCGGTTTGGGGGGCCGGCAGGACCCCTAAATTCTAGGAGGCCACTTCCTCGTCATTGTTCTGAGACGGGGGTCTCCGCGAGGGCAGCTGTAACCTGTTTCCTCTCTCCGCACAGAGCCCTATCCAAGGGGCCCGCAGGAACGGAGGGAAAACGCCACCAAAAAGCCAGCCGCCACCACACCCTCGTCGCACGACGTCTACGACGATCATAGTCAAGTCAGAAAGTTTCGGTGCAGAACTTAGCGCGGTGTGTGCAGAGTTTTTAGTTGCGTGCGTCGAACTTTTTGCGCTCCGCACGTAGCCAACCGCGCTAATCGGAGGTGCGGGGCGGGAGGGAATGGACGACAAACTAAACGCACGAAAACAGTTCGAAACAAATGAGTTTGTCAATCTAGATGATGATGATGATTTAAAGGCGGACACAGATCCAGCGGCTTCCGAATATCGGAGGCAGAGAAGCGTTGCAGACGGCCGCAGAAGCAGCGTCTGAAAGCGCCGCGCGACGCGGTGACCACCGTCTTTGCCCGACGGCTTAGGCATGAGCCGCCGCGAGGATGGGCTACGATCCAGCGACCGGCGTCACGGCCTCTCAACAAACGGGATCGGCGAACCGCGGGAGGGGGGGGGGCGGCGGGGGGCCGGCGTTCGCGCCTTCGTGGCAGCGCCGGGGGCTGTCGTCGCCGTGCGTCTTCACCGCCACGGTGACTCGCGGCGCCGTTCGGCGCGGCGGTGGCGAGATGTCACGGCCCCCATCTGGTTTTCGGTCTGGAAAACACGTTCGCGGTTCTGCAGCGTGCTCTCAAATTACTCGGCACGTGTCCGTGGCGGGCCCTGCAGGGGTCCGAGCGTGTCCGTCCCGGTGTTCGCCGAGCTGCGTTGGCTTCCGGTTGCCGAGCGTGGATTTTTCTCCGGGGCCCTCCCGGTTCTTCCCCCTCCGCATTTAGAATCAACGTCACCGCGCGTTCAGGGTTGTTTGGCTGCTGCCAGACATTTCCACGCGACGATGACGACGACGACGACGATGATGATGATGATGATGATAAGCCACTGACCGTTGAGCGATCATTGGCGATAGCCAGGGTCGCTTTCTGAAATAAGAACGACATAGCAGCTCAGTGGGGGGGGGGGGGGCCTTATCTGGTAAAATAAAATAAATTTGTCACAATATTTGGAGGGTGACGCCGGCACGCGATGGCCGACGACTCTTCTCCTTCACCGCCACGGGACCTGTAACAAGCCCTGCACTGAAGCAGGCGGCACCGAGGTGGCCCCAGTATTAACCGGGGTGGCTGCAGTATTAACCAGGGTGGCTGCAGTATTAACTGGGGTGGCTGCAGTATTAACCAGGGTGGCTGCAGTATTAACCAGGGTGGCTGCAGTTTTAACCGGGGTGGCTGCAGTATTTACCGGGGTGGCTGCAGCATTAACCAGGGTGGCTGCAGTTTTAACCGGGGTGGCTGCAGTATTAACCAGGGCGGCTGCAGCATTAACCAGGGTGGCTGCAGTTTTAACCGGGGTGGCTGCAGTATTAACCGTGGTGGCCGCTGGGCTCCAACCGCGAGCCTCTGCCACTGAGTGGCCACCGTGATGCCGCCGCCGCCAGTATCCAGCTAAACAAAAACCCCACACAGCGTGTCTGAAATTAGCCACTGGAGCAAATAGGAAGCCAGTGGAGCCACGCATTTTTAAATCGTCTACATTTTTAAACCAATTTCTTTACAACTCCTCCTTGTGTCTAGTTTGTTTGTCGTCCCCCCGCCCGTCCGCCCGTCCGCCCGCCCGCACCTCCGATGAGCACGGTTGGCTACGTGCGGAGCGAAAAGAAGTTCAACATAGAGAGTGTGTGTGCTGAAGTGGTAACCAATTGGCACGTTTTTGTTCACGTGGCAACCCGTTACTAATTGGCTGTGCCGGGTTGGCGGCGGGTTTTAAAGACGCATCAATATTTAGGCGATCTACGCGCGTACGAACGTAGCCCGCGCAGCAACAGCCACACGGCCCCACTCCTTGCGACGGCTTGGCATGACCTTCCTATAAAAAAACATTTCATAGTATTGGGGGCTCAGCGAGGCTTTCCTGCATAAACAACCTTAATGGCGTTCGTAATAATAATGATATAATAATTATAATAATAATCATGTAGACCACTGCCTATTCGCTTTTTTTAAAACAAGCCCGCCGGCGCGCCAGTCCACTAAGGGAGCCTCGCTCCGCCGTGCAAGGAACTGGCCGGAGCACTGCAGTCAGCATACAAGGGGAGCGGTTTAAAAAGTTGCAAACGCGAGGCAGAAACACAATCGCGGAGCGCAAACTATTGGCGAGGTGAGCGAATCGCTTAAAAAATAAAAATGTTACATCGATTAAGTATACCAGTTCAGATGGATAAAGTGCATCAATTCCGGCGGGAATTTTTCAACAATAAATGCAAGCCTCGGGCACGACAGCAAAACAACAACAACAACAGTCCCAGACCACAGCAAGACAACAACGCAGGTCCCTCAATACAACTGCCCCACGGGTCGGGATCAAAGTGAAGGATAATCTTCATGCTGAGACGCACTTGGGGGGCGGGCCCGGCGGGGGGCGGGGGGCGGGGGGCGGGGGGGGCATCTCCGTTATGGTGTTGGCTGTGGTATTTAGAATGGTATTGGCTATTGTATTGGGAATGGTATTGGCTATTGTATTGGGAATGGTATTGGCTATGGTATTGGCTATAGTATTGGGAA